GCAAGATTAGCGGGAAGACAAAATAAAGAAGCGCTTCCCCTTAGTCATCCTGTCCCATCAGACACATAGTAATGTATGTGTCCTCCGCCCTGCCAGATACAGATTCTGATTTTATGACTCACCTATGGTCCAGCTCATGTAGATTGTAATTCATCAAATCTAATTCCCGTGAGTCCACAAGTGCCACAGGCAATCATTGTGATTGGCTTTGAGAAAACTGTCCAGAAAGACTAAGACACTGGGTATAATTATCGTCATATCACTCAGGAAGAGTGATGTGGTCAGGGCCTCTGGAGGACAAGGACAATCCCCTGCCCCACCCAAGCCCCTTACCTTGGTCTTGCTGATGACTGTGAGGGGAGGTGACCCTCCAGCCTTGTAGAAGTTCCCAGCACAGAAGGATTGCTTCATACATATCTGCTGTATAAACGAAAGAAAGAGTGGCCCGAGAATTAACCCCAACAGTGATGCAGACATGATGAATAGGGGATCAGTAACAGCCATAGATGGCATGGCTTTGCTTTAGGAAGGGAGAATTCTATCCTGATTTCCTGCTTTGTGCACAGAAAAATGCCCCATCCTGTTTTGGCTGGATGAGAAGGCAGCTTTATTTATGGTGGACCAAAAACCTTCCATTTTTCCTGCTTTTTCTGTTCCAGATGAGACAAAAGGACCCAGTGAAAGGAATGACAGCGGATGACTAAAGGCACCTCTCCCCCTTCTGCACTGTATGTACCGAATTTCTCACTGCGCATGTCATAGGAGCTAAAACCAGCCTGAGTCCTCAAGGCCCCAGCAGCTCACCATGGAGTCTGAGAACATAACTTCATTCCTCTAGTAATGACTGCCACACTACGTAAAACACATTATGAGGATTAGGACATCCAGGGACATGTTTATAAAGATCTGTCTGGGTAGACACACGGACAGGGTGGTAAAAACCTGGGGCAGGGGCGGGGAGAGGAGGGTTGATGCAGAAGCAAAGTTCACCAGCAGCCCGAGCTGTCACACTGCAGCTGGCAGGCTGGGGTGCCACCTGTGACCTCCACATCAGAGCCAGGCTCCCAAACACTGGTGTTCCCTGCCCTGCCCTTGGAAGACTTGCTGGCCAGACACCTTCTCTTGGCACTCATTGTTGTGTCTGGTGCTTTTTTCCCTCCTTGGTCCTGTGTAGTAGCTGTCCCCAGCAGGAAGCGTTTCTGCCCAGATCTTAGGACCAGGATGTCCCTGTTCCCCAGGGCCCTGTCACCTCCACCATCATTCCAGCAGCTGAATGCTCTTAATCATGGAAAGAAGCCTGGCCCTGCTCCCCATTAGCCTTGTTTTTATCAAATAAAAAACGACTGTCCTCGCACTAAGGCTGATGAGGCCCGAGGTCTCCCCAGCAGTGATGGCAAGCTCTGCTCTCTGCGTCATGCTCTTAGAGCAGCTTCTGGGGGACAGGAGGGTGGGGCTAGGTGGATTGTGAGGCCAGCTTCCCAGTCACCCTGGGCCTTAGTCATACCCCCTTCCACACCAGCTGGCATCCCTCCTCCCTTTAAAGTTCCCCCATTCAAGATGATTTCCTGTGTGTTTCTGTTTTCCCTGCTGCTTCCTTAATAATCCTTAATAATCGTCTTTCTCTCCTAGTTTTGCAAGACAGTGGTCAACAGGAAGGCCCAGCAGCTCCACCCTCCCGAGTGACAGGCCATCTTCGGACGCAGCCTTTCTGTGCCCATTCTTCAGGCAACTTTCGACCCCTTCTGTAGCTAATTCTAGATGTCCTTTAATATTGTGAACAAATAGACCGCCTGGTATTACAAAGCCCGTGTGTGCGGGAGCCTGCTCCTCTGAGATATGTGACGTGTAGGTGCTGTATTTACAGCTCCTCCCTCTCTCTCCATTGTGTTCTGACCCGTTTCTCTGTGTGCCCCCCCCCACCTTTATTTCCAAGTGACATTTTTAGTCTTTCAAAATAGCTGCCTTTTGTGATGTGGTGACTGAAGTTCATTTGTTTTCGACCTTGGGATAATCTGAGGTATCTTGCTTCCTGGGCAGGTCTTTGCAATTTTGAGTGCTCACCTGGGGAGAGAGGATGAGTTAGAAATACAGTTTTCCCCTAGTTCCACAAAAGAGCAATGTGGCTTCCTAACTCTGACCTCTGCTCCCAGTAACCCACTGTTTATAGAGTGCTCTAAGCACCAAGGAAGTACCCAAGGCCAGCATCTCTGCTGTAGAAAATTTAACAAATACAAAACTCCCAGCCCCAGGCATTGCATCTCTGATTACTACTCTTAGGAACAACTGTGGCTTCTAGGCCCCCCTGTTGCCCACTCTGTAGGACTCTCTCTGTAGAGCCTACAGAGCACCCCGGTCAGCTCTCCACCTGGAGGGAGCTGTCCAGTGCGGCCCCTAGACGTGAGTCTGCCCCATATATATCGATCAGTCTGACCCCGAGGAGCTCTGTATGTCCACGCTCCTCTTCCCTTTCGGGCTGGTGCTGCCACTCAGCAATAATGCTCTTTTCTCTGTGCTTTCTTAGATCCCTGTCCTCTGTCTTTGAGGTTGGTTAGGATGCAAGAGTCCTGATCTTTCCATGCTGCACAAATGAGCATGCAAAAAGCTTTTTTCCAGAACACGTTCTGTCTCGCCTCCAGTTGCTGGAAAGGAATGTGGGAATCGAGAACTCAGCTCGGCCTGCTCCCATGCTGAGTTCTGTCCTGGACAATCAAAAGCAAATAGTGACCATAGTATAGACCTCTGCCGAAGCAGGCTGGTGAAGAGTGCAGGCTCCAGAGGAGTAAAAGCTGCTCCCATCTCCTACGACGTGGCAGGACCTGAGTGTGCCTCGCTGGTGGGGGAGTCTGAGCCAGCTGTGGTCTCCCCTGACATTCCCAGACCTTGTGAAGTATGTCAGCTTGAGTGTGCGCTCCAAGCCCAGCCTGGCCGGGGCCCGGGGCTGAGAGACCAGATCTGCTGGGGAGTGAGACGTGGGATGGCATAATTGATCCTTATGTTTGCCTTACTCATTTCTAAGTGCAATAAGGGAGTGTCTCACAGGACTGCACCTGTGCCATCCTGGTGGCTGCTTCCCTGTGGGTCTCCTGGGCAAAGGTGGACAGACTTGGACCCCTCAGCATGGTTAGCTCTGACCTTCACTGAGGTCCCTCTGGGACCAGGAGATGCCCTGTTACAGTCTCCTCACCTTGTGGGGCACTGCAGCTGCTTATTAGCATCTCAACGCTGGTAGCATTTATCTGACTGGGAAAGTTGGAGAAGAGGCATTCCTACTGGAGAGAAATGTAAATGTTTTCCTACAAGCTCTGTATTAGCTATTAATTATACTTGTGCTTAAAGATGTTCCTTCTTCATTCATCACTAGGTGAAGTCCAGATGTGGGTCATCCTGGAAAACACAAACATATTCTAGGCCTCGGTGGCTTACGTGGCCTGAGGGTCAGCAGGTCTGTCTCCTTCCTTCAACTATTTGAGATCCACACATATCATGTCAGTGCTTGGGGTGGGGCGCTTGTGTCTCTGACCACTCGCACGGCTCCCCGTTGCCCCAGTTTGAAAGCATCCCACTGAGCTGAGCTAGCATTCCTGGGGTCAACTTGGCTATGGGGCCCCTGCCCACAACAGCATCAAGGAAGAAGTCACTGGCCTGCTCTGCCCTCGGGACAGTGTTGCTGCTGGGCAACAGCCTTGGCTACTTTTAAATACCCCGCCCCCAGCCCGGAAACTGACAAGCACTCAAAGGGGCTCAGCTCCAGGAGAGCACCCCAGGGGGTGCCGCACCCCTCCGAGCAGCTGCCTCTGCAGCAGGGGTGCTGGGCTCTGGTCCTCTCACCAAGGTTGGAGATGAGGTCGGTTTTGAGGTCCCCTGTATTACCTTCCCAAGTTCTCCTTTTACAGTCCCTACTGGGACGCCCTGACATTTTGGTTGGTTCCTAGTGCTCCTTCTTTTACAAACTACACTTTGTAGAACTGATTAGATTACCTTGTTTATTTAATGTGGGTTTGTGCCTTTTTGTCTCAATCTTCCAATACAGGTATATTGGGAAAAAACAGCAGTCTAATAAAATCCTAGACAGAGCTGTCTGGAGTCCAGCTAATTATTGGTGATGTTTTGATGCCCATTTTACAACTTAGATAGTCTCAAACTCTTACTGATGTCCCCCATTTTACCAGGGCAGGGTAAGGAAGAGGTTCAATGATGTCTCTTAAATTGCACGGGTGAATTTCCATAAATTAAGACGACCTTTGTCAACGCACTTGACACAGCTCGGCTGAATGTGATGCAGCCATGTTCTGCCCGTTCCCACGGCGCTTCCCGCTCCCCACACCTCCCCGTTCACTAGCCAGCAGAACAGTTCAGACAGCTCTGAACCTGGCTGCGGGGCCTGCGGACCGATGCAGCCCGTTTCTTAGATTGTGTGCACCTCCATCCCCGCCCCCTTAGACTGAGCCAAGGAGTGAACTCGCAGTGAATCTTGAGCGCTGTCCGTCATCTCTGTGGTGCCTGGTCTTCAGTGCAGACCAAATAGAAGCAGTGACTTATTTTCCCTGAGTCCAGGAACCCGGAGGCGTCCCGTGTGTAACAGGCAAACCAATGAGTTTGAAAAGCGAAGGCCACTTGAAGGTGGAATAGATTAGAACCAGGAATGGCCGTGCGAGCGCGGCGTGGAGCCGGGGGTTACCTGCGGTTGGGGGACCCGGGTCATAGGCGGGACAGTGGCTACGTGGCCGAGCACGTCTCTGCGTGGCGGGAAGCTGGAGGACAGCACAAAACCCAGGCCCGCAGACAGACCCCGAGCGAGGCACCGGCGGCCCCGAGACGCGGGCGCGGCAGCGACTTCCGCCGGAAGACGGCCCTCCCGCCGCCTCGCGCGAGGCGGGCCCGGGTGCCGGCGGCGGGGCAGTGTTACGTCGTGCGCTGAGGACGGGCAGGCCACGCCTCGCTGACGCCCTGCTCCCCGGGCCCTTTTCTCTCAGCCTCTGGCGGCGCCGCGCTCGCTGGAGGGTCCCGCCTCCTTCGCCGAGCCGCACCACCCAGAGCCCTGGGTTTGCTCGAGGTCCGCCCCTTACGGGAGCCGAGGCGGACGGCCAGAATCCGGAAGAAAAACAGTCGGCGAGAGTGAGGCGGCCGAGCCATGGAGCTGGACCAGGAGGAGTCCAGCAGCGAGGAGCCGGAGCAGTCAGACGTGAGCCTGCCGGACGACCCCGAGAGCGTGATGGCCTCCGTGAGCGAGCAGAAGCCCAGCGAGCCGAATGTCTGGAAACTCAGGTGAGGAAGACGCCTGCTCGGGCCGGTCGCTGCCTTCAGCCGCACCGGGGCTGCGGACCTGGGGGCTGGGGACTGACCAGACTGGAAGGGAGGGGAACAGGCTTCTGCGGCTGCCCTCACCCAGAGGCCCTCCCACATTCTCCCAGGCCAGGGTCTAGTGGGATTTACTGGACCTGAGCCTCGCGCCCCCTCTGAACTTGGGCCGCCGAGCGCGTCCCCACTGGAACACTCCAAGCAGGGCAGGGGTGGCCCAGTTAGCAGGTGTCTGGAGCAGACAGTTGTGTTGGGCTGTCGCGGTGAAATCTCATTCCTGTTTGTGATCGGCACATGCATCATGAGGTCTGCCTGATCCCGTTATGACCTCCGGAAATCCGAAATCGGATTAAGATAAGAACCTTCGGGGAAGTGGTGTCGCCTGGTCTCATGCCTGCTCTTTCAGGAGGAACGGGGCTAATCACCCACTTGGTGGGAATCACGAGTGTGGATTTGCGCCTAAGCGTCCGACCTGAGTGTGGGGACAAGAAATCCCAACTCTGGTCCCCACGCACTTAGAGCAGGTGCCTGGGAAAACAAGGGGCCTTTGAGTGAAAGGGCTTGCTTTCTTAATCCTCTGTCGGACAGCAGGGGGAGATCGTAAACAGATGAAATACTTTGTCCACCGGGTGCCTGGGAAGGTGGGCTTGGAGTTGTTTGTTTATATTCTTGGGGAGGGGCAGGAAATTGCTTTAAGCCGGCCAAGAATTTCCTTCTGGTGGAGCAGAGGCATATGGGAGCGGCCCCCTTCCCCCCATCTCCTAGGCTGGACCTTCCACAGCAGCGGGTCTTCCTCCTCTCGGTGCACCTGGGACTGGTGCAGCCTGCTGACTGTTCGTGAACTCTGCGGGATTTGCAGCTCCTGGGGCTGCTTGGGCAGATTTCTGTTAACTGCTCTGTGTGCAAGTCCCTCCTTGCGCCGAGGCTCTGAGAGCCACCGAATTGGCTCTTGCTCCCCTAGAATCTGTGTGGAGCAGAGGTGGAGAATGGCACCCGAAGATGACTTTCCCAGGGACAGGGAGATTGGAGAGAGATGTTGAGAGACACTTAGAAGTTCTCCTTGGGCTCCCTAAGTGCTTCCCAGAATTGGTTGTGCTGCGGGAATCTGCTGGGAGCAAGTGGAGGAAGGGAGCGTGGCGTCTCTCGGGCGGTGCTGTAGTGCTGAGGCCTTCGCAAGGTGCAGTCTGAGCTCTCCTCCTCCCGTCTTTCCGTCCCAGTCTTCCTGGTGGTTTCCAAACTCCCGGGGTTGAGACGTGGGGGCCGGAAGTCGCTGTCAGCCATAGATGCTGGCTGAGGTGAGGTGTGGATGGCTGGTGCAGCTGGTGCATTTCGGGAAACCCTGGCTGCCCAGCCCACAAGCTCTGGGCTCCGTTTGGCAGCTCTGCTAGTGTGAACAGCAAGTGTGGGCAGCTGTGGGTCTGTACGGAGCAGCCAGTCTGGGGCACAGACGTCCCGCTCCGGGGGACACAGGTGAAGACCCAGGGCTTGTAGTCCAGTGCCCCTGCTTCCTCCATCAGATGCAGAAACGCGTGTTTTCCATGTGACTGCAGCGGTGTGGGGGGCCACTGTGTCTGTTGTCCTCCTTCCTCCATGACGCTTTCTGCACCCCTTCCACAGTATGCATGTCGTGACCTGGAATGTAGCCTCCGCAGCACCCCCTAAAGACCTCAGTGACCTGCTTCAGCTGAACAACCAGGACCTGGACCTGGACATGTATGTTATTGGGTAGGTGTCCGCAGGGCCCCTTCTGCCAGCCCTGTGTCTGAGATCAGCCTGACCGGTCTCAAGCTGTGCCCACGGAGAACAGCAGTAACCTGTGGAGGCGGAAGGCAGGGAGCTGTCAGCCCGAGTGGGGTCGGTGCTGTGGAGGCTGCAGACAAGGAGCTGTCAGCCCGAGTGGGGTCGGTGCTGTGTCTGCTGTCCGAGGGCAGCAGTGGCAGGGAACTGGAGGCCGGTAGCCAGGCAGCCCGGGAGGGAGGAAGCGTGGTCACCGACTGAGGTTTCAGGTCCTCTGAGGGCAGTGCTGAATGTCTGTGGCAGAGGCTCTGCCCTCGGCCGGGGACAAGCCTCTGACCTGGGGTGGTCAGTTTGCAGGAAATGAACTCTGGGATTGTAAGCTTCATTTCCGATACTGCCTTTGAAGACCCGTGGAGCAGTTTCTTCATGGATGTGCTTGCCCCTCTGAGCTTCGTCAAGGTAACGTGCAAGTTCACGGAGGACAGAGAAGTGAAAGATGTGTCTCGCCTCCACCGAGCCCCAGGCGCTATATTCCTCTTAGTCCCCATCAGCCTTTTGTGATGTGTCCCATCTATGAAAAGTTCATTTATTTTTTATGCAGGTGTTTCCAACTGACTTTTTTTTTTTTTAAGATTTACTTATTTATTTGAAAGGCAGAGTTAGAGAGAGAGAAAGAGGCAGAGAGCTATCTTCCATCTGCTGGTTCACTCCACAAATGCCCACAATGGCTAGAGTTGGGCCAGGCCAAAGCCAGGAGCCAGGAACTTCTTCTGGGTCTCCCACATGGGTGCAGGGACCCAAGCACTTCAGCAATATTCCACTGCTCTCCCAGGCGCATTAGCAGGGAGCTGGATCAGAAGTGGAGCAGCTGGGACTCAAACCCATACCCATATGGGATGCTGGCGCCACAGGCAGAGGCTTTGCCTGCTATGCCACAGCGCTGGCCCCAAAACTTTATTTATATATATATAAATATATAATATATATAAATATATAATATATAAATATAATATAAATTTATATATATTTTATAGAAAGTTTTTATTTAATAAATATAAATTTCATAAGTACAATTTTTGGATTATAGCAGTTCTTCCCCCCATATCCGCCCTCCCACCCCCAAACCATCCCACCTCCTACTCCCTCTCCCATCCCATTCTTCATTAAGATTCATTTTTAATTATCTTTTTTTTTTAATATTTATTTTATTTATTTGAAAGACAGAGTTACAGAGAGAGGTAGAGACAGAGAGAAAGGTCTTCCATCCACTAGTTCACTCCCCAGATGACCTCAATGGCCAGAGCTGCGCCGATCCAAAGCCAGGAGCCGGGAGCTTCTTCCAGGTCTCCCACTTTGATGCAGGGGCCCAAGGACTTGGGCCATCTTCTACTGCTTTCCCAGGCTATAACAGATTGCTAGATCAGAAGAAGAGTAGCTGGGACTAGAACCGGCACCCATATGGGATGCCGGTGCTTCAGGCCAGGGCATTAACCTGCTGCCCCAGAGCACCGGCTTAATTATCTTTATATACAGAAGATCAACTCTATACTAAGTAAAGATTTCAACAGTTTGTACCCACACAGACACACAAAGTATAAAGTACTGTTTGAAGACTAGTTTTACTGTTAATTCTCATAGTACAACACATTAAGGACAGAGGCCCTACATGGGGAGCAAGTGTACAGTGACTCCCGTTGTTGATTTAACAATTGGCACTCTTATTTATGACATCAATAATCACCCGAGGCTCTTCATGAGCTGCCAAGGCGTTGGAAGCCTCTTGAGTCCACAAACTCTGACATTATTTAGACAAGGCCATAATCAAAGTGGACGTTCTCTCCTCCCTTCAGAGAAAGGTACCTCCTTCTTTGATGGCCCCTTAAAAGTTTATATTTTTAAGATTTGTTTATTTGAAAGGCAGAGTTAGGGGCCAGGAACCCCATCTGGCTTTCCCACGTGGATGGCAGGAACCCAGATACTCAGGCCACCGTATGCTGCCTTCCCATACTCCTTAGCATGAAGCTGAATCCGAAGCAGAGCATCTGGGACTCTAAGCAGGATTCAGCTATGGATGCCAGTGTCACAAGCAGTGAGTTAATCTGCTGCGCCACGATGCTGGCCTCTGTGTCACTCACACCTGCTTCCCTTGATCTTCTGCTGGCTTTGTGTCTTTCCACAGTAGCAAGAGCTGAACTGGGCTCTAGGACTTAGTCTAGCACCTAGATATCTGTTAGCCTCCAATCTCTACTCATGCTCTCAGCCTGAAATCTCAGAGTGCCATAATAATTCTTGTCATTAATCAACTACTTAGTGTCAGGCATCATAAATAAGCTCTTTATGTACATTATTTTAAAAATCTTGAAATAAGGGATAACAGATGAAGCCAAGGCTCAGAAGTCATGTGGGCTGTCTAGATTCCAAGTCTTTCAAACCTGGTAACCCATGTTCTGCATGACTGGACTTAGTGCTGTGCTGGTGAGCTCGAAGGCTTCACGGGTGTCTGACAGCTACCCTGCTGGTATTGGAGTATGTTCTCCAATCACAGCGGACATGCACGTCACATTTCAGAGGTTAGGAGAGGGAGATAGGAGTGGATCTCATTGAGGGACCAGGATACTTTGGGGGACCCTTTAGAACAAGGATGGGGAGTCATTTTTCTACCAAGGTCCCTTTGGAGATTTTATAAAGTAATTCGCAAGCCACACAGTTATCGTCTTAACAATTAGCCTGCTCCACTGTGGCCAGTATTTTGGCGTAACAGGTTAAGATGCCAACTGCTATGCTGACATCCCATTATGAATACCAGTTCAAGTCCCAGCTGCTCTGCTTCCAATCCAACTCCAACATCCAAATGGGAGACCAGATGGAGTTCAAGGCTCCTAGCTTTGGCCTGGCTCAGCCTTGGCCATTGCAGCCGTTTGGGGAGTGAACCAGTGGATGGAAGATATCTCTCTCTCTCTCTCTCTCTCTCTCTCTCTCTCTTTCCTCCTCTGTAACTCTGCCTTTCAGGTAAATAAGAGGAATCTTTAAAAAATAAATGAATGAATAAAAATTAGCCTGCAGTGGATTTATTGAGTTTCGAGTCCTGTCTGAAGTTACTTTGGCAAGGCCAGACTAAATAATTTCTCAGGCCTGATACAGCCCATTGGCCAGATGTTCTCTACCCCCACTTTATTTTTATAATTATAAAGATGTATTTATGTATTTGAAAATCAGAGATGGAAAGAAGGAGAGCGAGAGATCTTTCATCTGCTGCTTGGCTCCCCCAATGGCCTCAACGACCAGGGCTGGGACAGGCCAAAGCCAGGAGCCAGGAGCTTTTTCCAGGTCTCCCACAGGGGTGCAAGGGCCCAAGGACTTGGGCCACCTTCTGCTGCTTTCTGAGGTTTAATAGCAAGGAGCTGAATCAAAGTGGAGCAGCCAGGACTCGAACCAATGCCCATACGGGATGCCAGCACTGCAGGTGGAAGCTTAACCTTCCACACCACAGTGCCAGCCCCTCCACCCTACTTCAGACCGTAGGAGAATCCTTAGTGCAGCTCAAGGTTGCTGGATCTCCACCTTGTTTCTTCCCTGCACATCTGAGTGATAAAACATGTTCCCATTTAAAGTACCTAGTGCATAGCTTCTTGGAAATACCAGACTTCTCTATTCTCTTTCCTTATGTTTAGGATTAATTCTATTACTCTAATTTGCCTGGGGATGCAGGGGCAAGAGCTATATCCTTCTGAAGAAGGTAGAATGGATAGGAGGGATCTAAGTTATGTTTTGTTTTTAAGATTTTATTTATTTGAAAGGCAGAGATACAGAAAGAGAGGGAGAAAGATAGAGAGTGATCTTCAATCCACTGTTCACTCCCCAAATGGCTGCAACAGCCAGTTCTGGGCCAGGCCAAAACCGGAACCTGGAACTCCATCCAGTTCTCCCACTTGGGTGGCAGGGGTCTAAGTACTAGGGCCATCTTTTACTGCTTTCTTAGGAGCATTACCAGGGAGTTGGATCAGAAGTGAAGCAGCTGGGAAATAAAACAGATGTTTGAACTTGTGCCCATTTGGGATGTTGGTGCTGCAGACGGTGGCTAACATTGCACCACAACACTGGCCCCCGGGATAAAAAGTTGTGTATGCTAACCCCTGAGCCTTTGGTTCCCTCCAAATTAGACCCAGAGGCCTCTTCTGCAAGCTTGGAGAACAGCCCTTGGAGGGCGGAACCACTGTTTTTTGGTTGTTGTTGTTGTTGTTGTTGTTGTTGTTTTTAACCACCTACTCCCTTCCCAAGTCTGCAGGCCTCCTTGCACCTTGGCTGAGTGGTACAGGGTTGGTAGGATGGAACTGAGCCAAGGAAATTAGCTCAGCCTGTGGCAAGGACACAACTCATTCCACCCTTGTGGCCTCCTGGGGTCAGGCAACCAGTCTGGAAGCCTGGCACCCAAAGCAGACACCCCTTGTTCCCTGACCCGAGAACTGAGGTGAGAGGCACACCCTGTTTCAGCCTGTGCTATGTGTAAGAAGACACTAGTCATAGGCTGAAAAGCCTGGGGCTGACCCTTTTTGCCTGTTCGGCTCCCAGCTCCTCCTGCCACTCCTTTCTTTAGCTCCTTCTGTTTTATTTCCTCCAACTGACGTTTCCCTTTAAAGTCTCCTGCTTTTCACCACGGCCCCACCCTTTCTCCTAGTCTGACTCTGTCCGGTCCCCACACATTCCTCCCCTACTTCCTACTGCTGCTTCACCAAGTGTTCTGTGGTCTTCATGGTTGAGCCTCCTGGCCTAAACCTGCTCTGTGAGTTAGGATTACACTTGAAACTGCTCCTGAGTCGTTATCGGTCCCCTGGCTACATCTGTTGTCGTATATGCTTGAGAGATGGGAGACTGGAGTGAAGGGTAGGTGGGGCCAGGGGTGCATGTGTAGTAACTGTCCAGTCTCAGGTCCTAACACCTCCCCTGTTCAGTCCTGGGCTGTGGTTCCCTGTGCTGTGACTGACTCCTCCACTGTGCTGGAGCTCGTGGCCTGTGGGATCCAGTTTCATAATTCCTGGAAGGCCCTAGTACATGCTCCCCACCCGGGGATTTCCTCCTTGGCCTCTACACCTCATGCTCCGGAAACAGCTCCTCGAGTGGTGGGTGTAGACAGCCAGATCTTGAGAGAAAGGTCACTGGCTGTGGCCCATTCCCACCCCACCCCTGCAGCCGCAGAGGGTAGGCATGTGGGAGTCCTAGTCCCAGGCCGTCCTTAGCCTCCCTGAGTCTGCACAGCAGGGCATGAAGAGAAAATGAAACAGGAAGTGCTCCCAGTAGGGCTTGGCTTCATCCCTGACCCCCAAGTGTGTCTTCCACCCTCAGTATCCTCCCTGCACCTTGTCTCTGTGGACATCAGCTGCACACAATTCATGGTGAGTTTTGGGGAACACTTGCTTGCTTTTTTTCACTGATAATATGTACAGAGAAATGTGCAGAAATCAAGTGGTTGATTTGGTGATTAAAAAAATTTTTATATTTATTTGATAGAGGAATAGATAGAGCTCAAATCTGTCTGTTCACTCCCCAGATGCACACAGCTGGGGCTGAGCTGAGGCCCAAGCTGGGAGCTAGGAACTCAGTCCAGGTCTCCTCCATGGGTGGCAGGAATCTGACTACTAAAGCCATCACTGCCACCCCCCCAGACTCACAGCAGCAGGAAGCTGGATCTGGGTGTTAAGCACAAACATGCTAATGTGAGACACAGACACCTTAACCAGTAGGCCAGAAACCTGTAGTGTGTTACATTTAAAATTTATTATTTGGGGCTGATGCTGTGGCGTAGTAGGTAAAGCCACCACCTGTGTGGCACCAGCATCCCATGTGGGCACTGGTTCAAGCCCAGCTCCCTGCTAATGTGCCTGGGGAAGCAGCAGAAGGTGGCCCAAATGCTTGGGACCCTACACTCATGTGGGAAACCAGGATGAAGTTCCTAGCTCCTGGCTTCGGACTGGCCCAGCTCCAGCCTTGCAACCATTTGGCGAGTACATCAGCAGATGGATGATCCCTTTCTCTCTCCCTCTCCCTCTTCCTCCCTCTTCCTCTCTCTCCTTCTCTCCCTCCCCCTCTGAAACTGCCTTTCAGATAAATGAATAAATATTTAAATAAATAAATAAATTTATTATCTATTTTCATTTTAGTTGAAAGAGAGGTCTTTCACTCAGTGGTCCACTCCTCAGATGCCCACAACAGCCAAAACTGGGTTAGGGCAAAACCGGGAGCCCAGAAAGCAATGCAGCTCTCCTGTGTACTTGAGCCATCCCCTGCTGCCTCCCAGGGTGCACACTGATAGAAAGCTGGAATGCAGCAGTGATGCAGGACTCAAACTCAGGCACCTTGATACAGGACGGGGCATCCAAAGCAGCACCTTAACCAGTGTGCCAAATGCCCACCCAGTTTGGTGGATTTTACTATGTTTCTACGCATCCACATTACCATCAGCCAAATCAAAACACAGAATATTCCTGGTACCCTAGAATAGAAGCCTCTCTCATATTCCTTCCTTGGATTTCTTTTTTTTTTTTTTTTTTTTTTTTTTTTTTAAGAATTCATAAGTTGGGGCCAGCATTGTGGCGTGGTGGGTAAAGCTGTTGCCTGCAACACCAGCATCCCATTTGGGCACCAGTTCGAGTCCTAGCTGGTCCACTTCCAATCCAGTTCCCTGCTAATGGCATGGAAAAGCAGTGGAAGATGGCCCAAGTGCTTGGGCCCCTGTCACCCACATGGCAGATCTGGATGAAGCTCCTGGCCTGGCCCATCCCTGGCTATTGTGGCCATCTGGGGAGTGAAGCAGTGGTTGGAAGATGTCTCACCCTCTCTCTCTCTGTAACTTGACTTTCAAATAAATAAATACATTTTTGAAATGGAGGAAGGGGACTGGCATTGTTTGCATAGAGCGCCACCTGCAATACTGGCACTGCACGTGGGTACCGATTCATGTCCCGGCTGCTCCACTTCTGATCCAGCTCCTGCTAGTAGTCTGAGAAAAGCAGCAGAAGATGGCCAAAGTGCTTGGGCCCCTGCAGCCCATATGGGAGACCTAAAAGAAGCTTCTGGCTCCTGGCTTTGGCCTGGCCCAGCCCTGGCTGTTGCAGCCATCTGCAAAATGAACCAGCAGATGGTAACATGTCTCTCTTTGTGTCTCTCCCTCTCTATCTGTAACTCTTTAAAATAAAATAAAAAGTCCTTAAGCAAAAATTAATAGCTGTTAGTCCTCACAGCATCTGTTCAATAGTATTATACCTGATTTATCCAAGTGAAAATAGGGCGAAACTCTTGCCTGATATCAGATACCAAGAAAGAACCAGGAATTGGACCCAGAGCTGGCTAATTTAGCCACTGTCCTGCATCGCCACAGTTCCCTTTGAGGCCCTGGCCAGGGGGGATCCCAGCCCAGGAGTACCCAGAATATATCCAGATGGCATCCATGAAAGGAACAGTGGGCCTGCCTGAGCTTGGACTGATGGCAAGGTGCCCTGGCAGCCTTGTGCACTCAAACCTCCGTTCCCAGAACGTATCGTTTGGCAGCTGAAGGGAGGGGAAGGAGTGAAACTCCAGACTCAACCAGGATCTCCCAGGCCCTGAGACAGGGCGCTACATGTGACCCGGGCCCTCCCGAGCCCCGGCACAGTCTGGCAGGGATGGGGCGCACTTACTTATGTAATGAATGACCTTTGCCCTCTCTCTCCTTCAGGTCTCCCATGTCCGCATGCAGGGGCTTCTCTTACTGATCTTTGTCAAGTATCATCATTTACCCTTTATCCAGATCCTCTCTACGAAATCCACCCCCACTGGCCTGTACGGGTACTGGGTAAGGACTGAGCAGCCGTCTAAGTCGAGGGCTGGGGAGGTCTGGGAGCTTTAGAACTGGATGAAAGAGAAAGGAACTGAGAGGAATCTCGGGACTCTGTGCAGCCGAGTCCTGCGTACTCAGTCTCCTGCCTCAGATGGGACTTGGGATCTGAGACGCCGGGCCGGGTAAGCTGGTCTGAGTACATGGAGAGGTGGCCTGGGAAGCCTGGTGGCTGTCCCTGAGACATCACGGGGGAGGGGAGACTTTGTCCTCAGGCCCAAGATGGGAAAAGAGGGGTCTGTCCGATCCAGAGTAGCTTTCCACCCTCTGCACACCTGTCCCACCAGGGCAACAAAGGGGGCGTGAACATCTGCCTGAGGCTTTACGGCTACTACGTCAGTGTCATCAACTGTCACCTGCCTCCCCACATAGCCAACAATGACAAGCGGCTGGAGCACTTTGACCGGATCCTGGAGATGCAGAATTTCGAGGGATATGATATCCCCAACATCTTGGACCACGAGTGAGCCTGGAGCTGCAACTGTCCCCCCTCCTCTCTCCCCTGTGCCCACCCTGCCTCTCTTGTCTGCCCAGTCACTGCTCCTCAGCTAGAGTCAGCCCCTACCCCTCCCTCCTACCCCATCTGCTGTCCCACCCGGCTTGGCCTCCCTGGCACCTGCTTCCTCCAGCCCTCCTGTCCCGTCCAGAAACCCTTGACACTTTTAAGCATCCCTAGTCAAGAACCTTATGGCTCATAAGATCACCGGAAGGGCTGCTTCTCAGCCTTGGCTTGTGGCCAGTGGAGGGAGAGGAGGGGAAGGCTCGGGCCTGCTCTGCCTTTGCCATAGGCCCTCTCGGTTGCTGTCTGCCGCTTGAGTGGTGGTGTGGGAACCCTGAGCACAGTACTGCTGGACCCGTGCCTGCCCTGGTCTTCACCTGGTCCTCTCCTAGCACCCAGCTTCTCACTGCCCCCTCCAGCAGCCCTTGGATTGAGCAGGGTGGAGCACCCCAGAGCTCCTCCTTTCTCTGAACACATCACAGACCCTCAGGCAGCCCTCCTTTCTTTCTGAAGCCTCATTCTCTGGTTTGGAGACATGAACTTTCGGATCGAGGATTTGGGACTGCACTTTGTCCGGGAATGCATAGCAAATCAGTACTACAGTGCCCTGTGGGAGAAGGATCAGGTATTAAGTGATGGGAGGTCCCTGGGGTGACGGGAGCCCGCTGTGGTGCCTTGGTGAAGTGTGCTGAGCTCGGGGTGTGGCCCACACCTTCCCTCTCAGCTATGGGGGTGGGGGTGTCTTCATTTTCACTGGGAGGAACTGTGTCCCCACAGCGGGATGTGGGCTAGAATAGGAGCCCGCGGGGTTTTAACCTGCCTTGACTGCACACCACGCACCAAGCTGTGTGTGTCCTTGTCATCTTGCCCAATCCCAACTTTGCTTCCTCCTGGAGGATGAGACCCCACCCCTCTGGGGAACCCTGGCTACCGCAGGTTCCCCTCTGACACCTGTCTGCTAGTGAGTCCCAGAGAGTTGGCGTTCCAAGCATAGTCTTTGTAGTCCAGGCCTGGGACGTGGCCGGCGTGTGGGATGCTATTTCCAGAAGGATTGAGATGCTGTGCTGGGGGGAGGGAGGGTGAAGGGCACTACTTGACTCCAGCCCACTCGCGGTAGCACATGCTGATCCCCTGATAGAGTGTGGGGCGGGGCCCGTGGCTGGTGCTGTGGGGAGATCGGGGCTGTGGGACAGGGCCCGTGGCTGGTGCTGTGGGGAGATCGGGGCTATGGGGCGGGGCCCATGGCTGGTGCTGTGGGGAAATCCAGGCTCCGTCTTCATCTGCAGCTCAGAATCGCCAAGAAACAGGACCTGCTGCTCCGGGAGTTCCAAGAGGGGCCCCTGCTCTTCCCGCCCACCTACAAGTTTGACAAGAACTCCAACAACTATGACACCAGGTGAGAAGGGCCACCAGGCGAAGTGGGCCCGGGAAGTCAGGTTCTGTCGCCCTGGGGGCAGTGGGGGCCGCCTCAGAACAGCAGTGTGAGGGAAGTAGGAAGATCCAGCCATGCCCTCTGGGGAGCGGCACCTCCTGTTGCCTCCCGAGGTGCTGGCGATGGGGCTATCCCAGCTTGTCCTCAGAGTGGGAGGAAAGGGGTGTTAGTGGGGAGGAGGGTGGAAGAGGGTCAGAGGAGAGGATGGGGCAGCTAGGCCTGACTAAAAAGAGACCGCATTCCTGTGTTCAGAAGCGCTTTTTTTTTTTTTTTTTTCAGATTTATTTATTTGAAAGGCAGAGTTAGAGAGAGAGAGAGAGAGAGAGAGAGAGAGAGAGAGAGACATCTTTTCCATTCACTGGTTCACTCCCCAAGTGGCCACAACAGCCAGAGCTAGGCTGATCTGAAGCCAGGAGCCAGGAGCTTCCTCTGGGTCTCCCATGTGGGTGCAGGGGCCCAAGAACATGGGCCATCTTCTACTGTTTTGCCAGGCCATAGCAGAGAGCTGGATGGGAAGTGGGGCAGCCGGGACTCAAACTGGTGCCCATATGGGATGCCAGCACTGCAGGCCGTGGCTTTACCCGCTATGCCACAGCGCCGGCCCCTAGAAACTCTTGCTCCCACCTTCTTGGACCTTCTGGTCTCCGGACTGGTGGGAGAAGGCTTGGCTCAGCAGTTGTTAGTATGCTGTGCCCCTGCCGTGGCCCATGAGTAAGTGGAGTCCTGTGTGAGGGGAGGTGGTAGCCAGTGGGGAAGTCCACGGGGAACAATACAGAGACAGTGCAGCTAGTGGTCACAGTACTAGTGCTGCCTCTCATCAGCTGTGTGACCTTAGGCAAGGTATTTAAGCCTCAATTTTCTCATCTGTGAAAAGGGGGTGATAATCACTCCTTAAGGAGCTGAGAGTGAACCAAACTGTCCTTAGCCCAGGGCCTGGTGCCTGTCTGGTGAGTGGTTTTAAACTTGTGCCTTGAGGCAGTAGTGTTACTGCCACACTTTCTCAGAAGCTGGGAAGTCCCGTCCCCACCCACATCCGGGGCTCCAGCCGTTTAGGATGAAGAGCCCCTTTCCCCTTCCACAGAGCTTTGTTTCAGCTGAAGCAGAAGTTCTTCCCTCCTCTCAGGACTGTCGGGGGGGAGCTGGAGGGCTGGGGCCGCCCAGCCCCTGGGAACTAAGGGGTGAACAGGAGCTTCCATAGGCAGGCCAGGCCAGGAGGTAGAATCGCACGTTCAGTGCTGCGAGTGAGGTGACAGCCGAAATATGGCGGCCAGGGCAAGGGGGAGAAGGTGAGTATGGAGCAAGACGTGGTAGGGCCGCAGCCCGGGCAGTCCACACAAGGAGAGACCGCGAACGCTGCAGACAGGGCCTGGCCTGGCAACGTGGGAAAGGGGGTAAGAGGGCAGGCCCTGGCTGGCCAGCTGGCCCCAGTCCATGGCACAAGCGAGTGGTCATAACAGCTGCATGGCCTCAGCAGGACAGGCTGGGGCCTTGGGGCTGACACCTCTATCAACTCACTTCAGAGCCTCCCTTGCCAGCAGGAAGAGAGCTGCTGACAGGCCCTGTGGCTGAGGGTCCCTTCCCCTTGGGGACGAGAGAGCCCCCCAGGAGGCTGGAAGTCACTGCAGACTGCTGCGACCGGGCTGGAGCTGGCAGGGTCCGCCAGGGCGCCGAGGCTCAGCTGGTGATGGGGCTGGGCTCGGACCTGCTTCCCTGCCTTCCGCGGTGCTTGCTTCTAGCCCACAGTGCCCAGGAATCTGCAGCCAGCCTGGCCAGCAGCAGCCAAAAGGAGGGCAGGGCAGCCTGGCAGGTGGTTACCATGGAGGAAGGAGAGCTCACTGCAGGTGGATGGCGGGGCCTGAGCCCACCTGGGAGCAGAGACATTGCCGTCTCATCAGACTCTTGCTTGTCCTGCAGCTCTGTTCACACATCCTCTCTCCTGGTCCCTCCTTCCCTGTGCTGCCGCCACATCTCGTACATACCATGCACTCAGTGGTGCTATTAGGACACAGAGCGCCTGCCTGCTGTACTGTGAATGCCTGGGGAGCAGAGACTGGAGCTCATTCATGACCTTCGCCGGGCTGTAGCGTGGAGCCTGGCGTATGTGTGAAATGGGAGCCTGAGAGGGCAAAAGGGAAAGACGTGTTTACGCAGCAGCCAGTCTAGCAGAGGGGCCCACCCATGGGCAGATCCAGATGAACACTGTCGAGCCCCTGCGTTAGCCAGGAGGTTGGAGCGAAGAGTGAGGAGGTGAGCACTGAAGCCAGGGAGCTCAGTGAGACTTGCTGTCAAGGGGAATATCTTGGAGGAAGCAGTAGAGCTTAGCGCAAAGAAGGGCAGGCATTTCCATCCGACAGCAGCGCGGTGAGACTACGCTAGCCGAGCCTGCCCCAGCTGTGCCAAGTAACAGGGCCGTCAGCGGGGGTCGGCGTGCTCTGACTGCTGCATCCCCCAGCCACGCTGTAAGGAGAACCAGCATCCTCTCCATTACGGGAGAGGGTGGAAGCGCCCCGGGCAGGGCAGGAAACCTGTTAGAGCTGGGGATTACTACAACCCCGTAGTGAACCCAGGCAGCCTCTGTAGGCAGTGAGCACATGATGTTACCGTCAAATGTGGTCAGGACTTCTGTCCCAGAAACACAGCACCTGGTGGTTAACTGCGTCCAGAGTGCAATTAGACACTTAGCGTCTGCAGGGAGCTAAAGGGAAAAATGCTTTCTGACCCAGAAGTTTAGCACATCACTGCTTCAGGGTCAGTGAATTGGCTGTTTTATTTATTTATTTGAAAGGCAGAGAGATGCAGACCAACAAAGAGAAAACTGTCATCCATCTGCTGGTTCACTCCCCAGATGCCTGCAACAGCTGGACCTGGGCCAGGCCAAAAGCAGGAGCCTGGAACTCCGTCTGGGTCTCACGTGGCAGGGACCCAAGGACTTGAACCATCGTCTGATCTTCTGCTGCCTCCCCGGGTCTGTGTTAGCAAGAACGCCGGATGAGAGGCAGAGTCTGGACTTAGACCATTCACTCCAGGTGGGGTGCAAGCATCCCAGGCAGCAATGTAACCACCGGACCCCGTGCCTCCCCTGGCTCGATTTTTTAGACTTTCGAGAGAATCTTACAGAGCTATGTGGTTTTAGTGTTCAAGAGCTGTGGTGTCTTCCAGACAGTTATCATCACAGCCATTCGGCCAGAAAGCATTAGTCACTCATGCTCCGGTGATGCGTGCTGGGAGGCAGTTCTTGCTGCTGGGGCTGGATCCCAGCAGGGCTGGTTGGAGGAGACACAGAGCACTGTGGAGGGAACTTGGACTTAAGTGTTCCTGGTGCAAGCACTGGGCTTCCACTGGGCAGTGCAGCCTCTCTGAACTTGAGTGCCTTGCCTTAGAAGGAGAAAGGTGATCTGTAACACAAGCTCATTGTGAAGATCACCACAGCCCAGGAGACACCTATCACAGCACCTGGCACCCAGAAGGACCTCGGTTTAATTGTTATTAGCAGGGAAAGAGCTGGGAAAGTATACAGGTAGCATTTTTATGTTTGTTTTGCTTGTTCATTTCTTCAGTCAAACACTCCTCAGGAACCTTGTCAGCCCGTGACTGTCTCCCTAACTGCCTGGCACATAAAGAAAAAAGTCTTGATGGAAAGTGAGCAATACAGGTCCCCAGTGATGAAGCCAGAGCAGGCCGTGGAACTAAGAAAAGGAGAGGTGGGCATTTGGCTTGGTAGTTAAGATGCCTGCATTCTTTTTTTTTTTTTTTTTTTTTTTTTTTTTGACAGGCAGAGTTAGACAGTGAGAGACAGAGAGAGACTTATAGACAGAGAGAGAGAGAGAGAGAGAGAAAGGTCTTCCTTCCGTTGGTTCACCCTCCAAAATGGCCTCTTTGGCCAGCACTGCGCTGATCAGGAGCCAGGTGCTTCCTCCTGATCTCCCATGGGGGTGCAGGGCCCAAGCACTTGGGCCATCCTCCACTGCCTTCCCGGGCCACAGCAGAGAGCTGGACTGGAAGAGGAGCAACTGGGACAGAATCCAGGGCCCCGACCGGGACTAGAACCCAGGGTGCCGGCACCGCAGGCGGAGGATTAGCCTAGTGAGCCGTGGCGCCGGCCAAGATGCCTGCATTCTACACCAGAGCACATGGGTTCAGTTCCCAGATGTGCTCCTGATTTGTTTCCTTCCAATGTGGATCCTTGGAGGCAGTAGTGAGGACTTAAGTGTTTGGGGTCCTGCCACCCACATGGGAGACCTGGATTGAGTTCCTGATTTGTCCTGGCCCACCTCCAGGCATTGTGGGCATTTGAGAAGTGAATCCACAAATAGAAGCTATCTGTGTCTCTCAAAAAGTTTTTGAAAGTTGAGGAGAGGGGCCAGTGCTGTGGCCTAGTAGGCTAAGCCTCTGCCGTCAGCGCCAGCATCCCATGTGAGCACCAGTTCTAGTCCCAGCTGCTCCACTTCTGATCCAGCTCTCTGCTATGGCCTGGGAAAACAGTAGAAGATGGCCCCAAGTGCTCGGGCCCCTGCACCTGCATGGGAAACCCAGAAGAAACTCCTGGCTTTGGATCAGCTCAGCTCCGGCCATTGCAACCACTTGGGCAGTGAACTAGCGGATGGAAGACCCTTCTCTCTGTCTCTCACTCTATCTGTAACTACCTCTTAAAATCTTTTTAAAAAAATTAAAGCAGACAGAATGAAAGGTGCTGAAGAAGGAAAGACAGGCCATAGTCAGGCCAAAGGGAAGATCTTGATGTGATAGCAAGTCTGGATTCTTAACCATCATAGGGGAATTGGGAAGGGAGGGTGCTTTGGAAAAAGAAAAAAAGAGGGTGTGTTAGTGTAGGATTGCTAGGACTTGATGTCCACCACGGTGGGTTCAGGGGTCCCTTGTCTGCAGTCTCTATAAATGGGCACGCACGCTCCTTGGGAGAGGGCAAGGTTGGAAACAATGCAAGGAGCCAGCAAGCAGACTGTGCTGCAGCCAGCTCCTACCCCTCCACCACCCCCTGACACACCTGGTTTCTTCATCCTCACAGTGGTTCCTTGAAGCAAGTGCTGTTATTCCTTCCCACAGTTGAAGACACTGAGGCGTAGAGGGGTGAGGTCGCTTGCTCCTAATGACCAGGACAGAACCTGCCCCCACCCGGTCTCTGGTTCCAGTGTCTCACCGTGATGATACTCTCCTCGCTCACTGGGACCCTGCACTGCCGCTCAAGTGGCAACACTACGTCAGATAGACCCTGGAGCTGGGGTCTGGCTCGCCCAGGAGCGTGCATTCCTGCTTTCATGCCCATCTTTTTTTGCCCGTTCCTCTTCTTCTACCCTCAGTGAGAAAAGACGGAAGCCTGCCTGGACCGACCGAATACTATGGCGGCTAAAGCGGCAGCCACAGGCCACCTCCTACATGTCCAATCCGTCGACCTACTTCTTCCTGACCCTGAAGCACTATGGCAGCCACATGATGTACTACATCAGTGACCACAAGCCTGTCACTGGCACCTTTGACTTGGAGGTGAACTTGGCAGAGGAGCAGCTCATGCTGGGCCATTTCCCCAACCCCAGGCCTGGATTCTGATGTCAGCCAATCCCCAGGGGAGAGCTGTAGGAAAACATGATTGCCGTTCCTCCCAGGTCAGGTATCCCAGCTCTCCTAGGAGCTGTTGATGGCTCTGTCTCAAACGTGTGCAGGCCCTTTGTGAACAGGTTTCCATTTCCCCTTGGTACTGTCCCTGGGGGCCGGTGACTTCCATTACGCTTATTACCTACTGTGTGAAGCAGGACTTTTATTTGTCCCGACCCTCTGTGGATCCGGTTGCAGGGGAAGCTCCCTCCATCCCCGTGTCTTGTCCTCTAATGACCAGGGCAGTGCCAGCGGCCCCCTCGGCCTGCGTGTCCTAATCCTCCGCCGTGTGCCCTTCTGTATTCTCACAGCTGTTCCCACAGAGCATCCCCCACACAACTGGATTTGGGCCCCTGAGTCAGAAGCCCTAGAGGTCTGACAGCAACTGATTGTCTCCTTCCTTAAACCTGTAGCCCCTCCTGGTGTCACCCACCTGGCTCTCAGCCCCACTCTCCCTGGCAGGGCCAGCACTCCCCCGACCAGCCTTTGACCCTTTCTCTTCCCCACTGGCCAGCCCAGGGCATAGGCAGAGCTGCGCCCCCGCCCCCGCCCCCGCACCCTGTTGGAGGAATTGGGGCTGAGGGGTTTCAACCACCTGCCCGCCCCTGTGTGTAGCTGAAGCCCCTGGTGTCTGCCCCAATGATCACGCTGATGCCTGAGAGCCTGTGGACCATAGAGAATGACATGCTGATCAGCTACTCCTCAGAGCCGGACTTCCTCAGCAGCCCCTGGGACTGGATCGGACTGTACAAGGTGACATGGTGGGCAAGGCAGGGAGTCTGCCAGCCACAGCCTCCGGCCCGTTCCCTGGAGGGTTGCGGGATCTGGGCAGAAATACCCAGGAGCTCACCCTCAGCCACCTGTCGGGGGGAGGGGGCCTTGCCTCCCGAGGGGCTGGCAGAGAAATTGGGTGGGACAGCCTCTCCCTGGGACTTGCTCTAGGTCCTGTGTCCTCACTCACTGCCTGCTTCCCCTCCCACAGTTGGGGATGCGCCACATTAATGACTACGTGTCCTATGTGTGGGTCGGGGACAACCAGGTCTCCTTCAGCAACAACCTCCACCAGGTACATCTCCAGGAGGTGGGCTGGCCCGAAGGCTCCTGCGTCTGGCAGGACCAGCACTCTGGATAATGTCACTGAGAGCCCAGCACCCAGAGCCGGCCTCCTTTCTGTCCTTCCAGGTGTACATGAACATCAGCGAGATCCCGGACACGGAGGACTACTTTCTCCTCTGTTACTACAGCAGCATTCTGAATTCCATAGCGGGGATTAGCACCCCCTTCAAGGTAAACGCTGCTGCTGGGGTGGGGCAGGCCAGCCAGGGGCCTGGAGGCTGCAAGCCTTGGGAACTGGGTGCTGGAGAGACCTGCTGTTCCCCATCCTACCGCCATGTTGTCCCTGCAGATCCCGCTGCGCTTCTTCTTGAAGGAGGACCCACTGAGTGAAGAGGAGCCACAGACCCCTGAGCACACGGGAGAATGAGTCCAGGCGTCGGCAGAGCTGCAGCCAGCCCTGCCTTCTGCCCGGAGCGCTGGGGCCAGGCCGGCCCCAGAGGAGGCAGCCAGGCATCCTCCACTCAGCCACGTCCCAAATGAGCTCTAGCAGACTCCTTTGCTTTCTCTGGTCCAGATCTCTGGAACTGGCCACTTAAATAACAGGTTTTTGTTGCGAGCTGTGAGTGAAACCAGCTGGTTTGTCTCCGTGCAGACGAGGGGATAGCCCACCATCTGTGCAAGGACCTGCCTGCCCTCATTTCCCCACACACACTTGCAGTGCTGCCCAAGCAGTCCTGCCAGGCACATGCCCCATCTGGCACAGGCCTGCATTCTTGTCACGCCCTGCTGGGCCTCGGGCTGCCTGGGAGGGGGAGATGCTCACATTTGTGCGGGCTCCAGGGGCCGGCTGGCGCACAGCAGCTCTGGATTCCAGAAGTCTTGGCATCCTTGTGGCCTGTGCGCATGAGGGATGAGCAGAGGATCTGGGATCTCTGCTTCCAACAGAAACGGCCTGCCTGAGGAGCTAGGAGGGGCCCCTACCCAGGCTGTTACCTGGTCACTGGTGAAGATTCTCCTGCCAGCACAGCCCTGCCCTGCCTCTGCCCCCGCGGATCCTGTAAGTTCCAGAGCCTGAGCAGAGAGACCTGGGAAGGACCCCAGTCAGCTGCTGCTGGTGACTCAGGCCCCCTGCCTCCAGCCTGCTCTCTTAGGAAGGGTTGACAGGTGGTGGAGGAGCAGCCACCACACACACTCCCAGGGTGATCACCACCATGTCAGCCTCGTCTGCCCTCGGCCCTGTCGGGAGACCAGAAGATGCTCCTCTCTCTGCCCCTCTGGAAACCCAGCTTGGGCAGGCAGAAGGGAGAGCCGGGATTGCAACACTTCAGAGGAGCTGGTCCTGGGACCCTTCCGAGAGTAGATTCCAGGTGCTGCGTGAACACTCCTGCCCTTCTCCCAGGAGAAGACGCCTCAGGGAGCCTGCTCTGCCTGCCACGTTCATCGGGCCACCTGAGACAAGGTCCCCCCAGTTGCCGTGCAGCCCGTGCTCCTGGGAACCATATGTATCAAGAACTGTCCCCTGGCTGCTTGACGCTGGCTGGCTGTGTTCTGTCTGTTACATTGGGGGGTAATTAGAACTGTGGCTTTGACACTTGTGTGTGACTCCTTGATGATGGCAGGAAGGGCAAAGGGCAGGTGGCACTGGGCTGGGGGTCGAGGGCCCTGTGGATCCAGACTAGACTTCCTGGGTCTGAGGTCAGCAGGTGCGGCCAGGTTGAGGTGCTGGCCTGAGTGCGGCGTGCCGGCCGTGCTCCTGGGCAATTGGTTCACACACTGCAGAGGGGAGTGGGCGTCTTGTGACTGACAGCTCTGAAAAGGCGCTGTCTGTGCTCCCACCCCCCACTTTGCACACCCAGCTCTTGAGTCTTGTTCCTGGTTTAAGCCATCCAAAACAGTACCACCTTTTCTCTGCCCCACCACCTTTTTTCTGCCCCACCGTTCTCCAAAGCCTTCCTGCTGAGTTTATCCCCTCCCCTCACATACACCCAGCACCCCTTCTGTCCCCCGTTTCTTCTCACAGGCACAGCCATCATGGGTGCTGCCACCTAGCACCCTTCATCTGGCAGACAGGGATCCTGGGGCTCAGAGAGGTGGTGGATCCCTCCCTGGCTTCCCACGCAGCCGTGGTGGCTTCATGGCGGACCAGCAATACAGAACCCCCGTGGGCAGCCCCGTTGTCTACAAAAAACAAACCACGTGCCATTCACAGGATCCCCATGAGAGGGCAGCTGCCAGCCTGAAACAGACACTGCACCCACCTCTCCCCTCTCCGTTTTTGTTAACGTGACCCTGGGGCTGGATCTGGGGCTTCCTGACTCCAGGGGTCCCCGTTTTCTCCAGCTCACCTCTCCCCACGTGGATGTCTTCACACACTCCTTCCCCCGCCTCCTTGCCTGGGAGGGGAGTTCAGCAGAGATTGAGAGGCGGAAGGGGAAAGGGGAACACTCTCCCTCCTCTTGGCCCCAGTCAGGATATGGCCGCTCTGGGCCCACCCCTGACCCGCTGGGTGGAAACAGGAAATATGTGAGACTTGGTGTGCGCTGGGTCTCTGTGCCTGGCTCCACGGCTGATAAGAAGCCATTGTGTGGCCGCCAGGGATGAGCTGCCCTGGATAGATGTGCTTCCCGGAGGAAGGAAGGAAGCCTTGCCGGCCTTTCCTGGGCGGGGGACACTGGGGAGGGAGGAGAGGGCCCCTGGCTGGCTGCACAGGCCCCCTGGGCGGCAGCCCCTCCCGTGCCAGCCTGTTTCCCCAACCACTTCCCCGTCCTCACTTCCTATGAGGAATGGCTGGAGACTGGAGGGCTCAGGCCCAGGCCAGGAAAGTGTCAGCTATGATTTAGCAACAAGAAAGATGGAAAAACAGGAACACTGCGGGGGTGGGGGTACCTGAGGGGACCGCTGAAAAGTGAGGCAAGAACAGGGTGTGAGGTGGTGCACACCTAAGGAACTCAGCAGTGAGTCTTCCAGGCATTCGCGGCTCCAGAGGAGGGGAGGGTGGGGACCTCCCCACAGTGCCCCCTGCCTCTCCTAACGATCCCTCTGCCCAGTATGGCCATCCATCAGCAGCCCTGGCTCCTCAAATGCAAGGGGCTACCTGCTGCCCTCAGAGGCAGCCAAGCTACAGGGACAATCAAGAGGGACAGCGCCTTTTGAAAGATCCTCTTGGCTCAGGGGAGGCTGTGCCCTCTGCTTTGGGGAGTGGCCACTGTGCCCTCTGCTGATACCAGAGTGGGCAGTGGGGAGAAGTCCAGCCACGGAGCTGCCTTCTTACCTACGGCCTGGAGCCCAGGGTCCCCCACGGGTGACTGCCTCAGCTCCCCTGGCTACCTGGGACAAGAGGCATTTCCTCCACCCCTCAGCTCCTCCTCTTCCTGCCCCAGCCCTGCGGGCCAAGAGGCCTTCCAATCAGACCTGGGCTGCTCCAGCTGTGTCCTGAGGAGCTGGACCAGCCACATCCCCTGGGGCCGGAATTGAAGCAGAACCAAGTGGCCATCCCAGCCTGAAACCACAGATTCCTGGCTCCGGGAGCGGCCAGGGCAGGCAGCTTCAGCCCAGGGGCTCAGCGCTCTGGCTGTCCACAGGGCGGAATGGCGCTGCAAGTGGAGCTGATCCCCACGGGGGAGATCATCCGCGTGGTTCATCCCCACAGGCCCTGCAAGCTTGTAAGTGGGGCGCTCTGGGCTGGGAGGAAGGGTGGCACTGTCCAGCCAGGGCCTGGCAGCCCCTCAAGAAAGAGGTGAGCGCTGCGAGGGTTTGGGTCCTGGCGTAGAAACCAAAGGGGCAAGAAGGCGTAAGGGGAAAGGAAGGGATAGAGTGTGCGGGATTAAGGATCAGTAGAAGCACTTTCTAAAATGGAGATCAGGGTTTCAGTCGCTTCTCCAGCTTGCTGGTCGGGGACCTGGGCATGACAAGCTACTCAGGGCGAGGGACTAGTGCACGTAGAGCACCAGGCGCATAGTACAGGCTCAGCTGATGCCCCTCCTTTCTCGTTGGCCAAGGAACTGAGGTCTCCCGGCTCAGAGCAGTAGCATGGGCGCAGAGGCGGGTGAAGGGAGAGATAGTCAGACCTGGGGAAGAACTGCTCTGGCCTGGCGGGCAAGGGAGGGAGAGTCCGGTTCACTCTGGGGGTGAGGAGGGAGAACCCCCAACAGGCGCGCCCACCCACCCACTCTGCAGAGTGGACCGCTTCCTAGGTGGGAGGCGGATGCGTGTGTGCGCGCGCGCGCGCGACTACGACGACGCGCCTTGTCCCGGGAAGCGGTGAAGGAGCGCGCTGGGCACAAGTCTCCCCTGGCCGGGGCCGGAGCCTGGGCCGGCTGGGGCGGGGCGGGGCCGGAGGGCGCGCGCGCGCGCCGGAGTCTGGGCCTTGCCCGGGATGACGACAGGCGGCGGCCCGGCCCCCGGCGGGCCCTGGGCGGGGAGAGCGTGCCGGGGCCGCGGACTCCCGAGCTGGTCACGCCGCCCAGCCCGGCCCCCGCCAGCGCACCCCAACAGCCGAGCCGGTGGGTACGCTGGGCAGGGCGGGAAGCGGCCGCGTAGCTCCGGGAGGCCTCTGCTGGCTGGCGGGTTACGGGAAAAGGCAGGCGGCCAGCTCGGGGATACCGTACAGGAGGCGGGGGTCGCCGGCGGGGGAACGCTGGGACCAGGATCAGCTCGACCTGGCCCGTGTGGGATTCCCCCCAGGTCCCGGAGGCGCGGGGACCAGGCCTGGTGGGACTTGGATTACTTGCGGGGAACCTGAAGGCGGGGAAGAGCGACTGGGGTTTGGGCACCTAGCGCGCTCTTTCGGGCCCCTCCCGCAGCCCTGCTCTGCCTCTGGGTTCCGGAGAAGCCGCCGGAGACCCGCCCCTTTCCGTTCTCCGCCCCCAGGGCCCGGCAGCGCTGGTGGCCCCTTGCGTGCCTCTGCGCGCGCGTGCGGTGGGTGGGGGCTCCGAGATGAATGAGACAGGGAACGGTGGCTCCCCGCTTTATTCAGCTCCCGGCAAGCTCGGGCCGCCGGCTCACCCTCCCTGTCTCTGAGAGTCATTCATTCACTCGTTCATTCATTGATTCATGCGGGAGTCTAGGAAGGAGTTTGGGAGCCCCCACTGTACCTAGCAGGGTGTGCGCCTGGGGCAGTCTGACCAGCGATAAGCTGGGGGCTGTGTGTTGGGGATAGGCAGGGAGGGGTTCTGCAGAACTTGATACCTGAGCCGAGTCTCCCAGGACCACTGAGAGTCAGGGAGGTGGGCCAGGGCAGCTGCAGGTGCAAAGGCGTGGAGGCTTAGAGAGCCACGTGTGGCTGCTGGCAGAGGCACCGCGGCCCCGCCTGGCTGTGTGTGGCTTAGTAGAGGCCTGGGGAGAGTAGGGACTGGAATGCAGGGGCAGTGAGTTACACTGAGACCAGTGGGGCCTGCAGAGCAGCAGTGGGTGTGAACCACAGGCCTGGCGCATACAGGCTGCCCTATCAACCTTCACTCTCCGCACGGGAGATGTTCCTGGGCGGCGCTGCATTTGTAAATAGCACAGCCTGCTGTGGAAAGTGGACTGGTAGGAGGAAGGCGGGGTGCGGAGTGAGGGGCTGCGGTGCTGGTCCAGGAGAGAAGTGGTGGAGAAGCAGAAAGAGGTTTTAGCAGGTGGTGACTGCTTGGTGTGGGGCGGGGAGGGGGCAGGGCAGGCCTCTCCGTGCCCACGTGATGGCTAGCTGGAGGTGCCGCCTCCTCTTCATAGAGGACTCAGCCAGGAGAACAGGGTAGGAGGCCAAGTGCTCTTTTGCTTTTGCTGGCCCCGAGGCAGAGACGTCTAGCTGGCCAAAGGCCCCTGGTTCTGGAGTGAGGGCACAGCCCTTGACTGGGCCCTGCGAGCCATCAGGGTAGACCCCCAAGTCCCCATCTTCTCCCCACTCCCCAAGGGTCCGTGAAGCCCAGAACAGTGCTTGGTGGGGCAGCCTGGTCCCAGGCCCAAGATTTGTTTGAGAAATATACATAAGTTGAGTACCTGCACTGTGCGTAGCACTGCGCCGCCAGTGAGACCTGCTGTGTCTCCCCTGCCCCAGGAGGCCCTCCGCTCAGAGCGGGGAGCAGCTGTCTGCCCCTCCCCCAGCCCGGCCCGCAGGCCCCTGACCTACAATAGCTAAAGGGCAATGGATGGCCCACGTCGGCTGGGTCCTCTCCATCCCCTGCGCTCACAGCAAACAGCCTCCCCAAGGCAGGGGGCGAGAGACCTGAGGCAGCCTAGGGAAGGAAGTCCGGGCCTGGAAGGAAGCCCCAGCACACAGCCAGCCCTTAGACCCTACCCCCAGGGCTAAGTCTCACAACGCCGAATGGACGGTGCGCCTTGGGGACCTGGGGTCCCAGCACCACTCCTCCATTTACAAGCCTTTAGACCTTGAACAATTCATTTCCTCTCCCCAGTCCCAGTTCCCGCTCCTAAGATGTAGTTATAATACAGACCTCCTGGCTTGGCCGGGGGCACTGTCCGCAGAAACCTTAGAGAGCGCTAAGAACGCACCGGGTGCCGGAGCTGCAGCCTGGGTCGCGGCGCCCTTCGCACCCGGGGCTCCCGGCATCGCTGCCCCCCGCCCCAGACACGCGCTTCGGTCCAGAGCCGC